CTTGCTAATTACTTATAAAGCCCTGAATTGTTTAGCACCTCAGTACTTGAGTGAGCTCAAATCACATTATAGTCCTTCATGTCCGCTGCAATCTCAAAACTCTAGCAATTTGATAATACCTAGAATATCAAAATCAACTGCGGGCGGCAGATCCTTTTTCTATTTAGCGCCCAAACTCTGGAACAATCTACCTAGCGTTGTTCTGGAGGCAGATACACTCTCAGTTTAAATCTAGATGAAAGACCATCTCTTTAACCTGGCATACACATAATACCACATTTCTATAACTCAAATCCATTAAAGGATTGTTAGGCTGCATTAATTAGGTCAACCGGAACCGGGAACACTTCCCATAACACTCGATGTTCTCACTACATCGTAAGAAGAATGGCATCTAATATAAGCTAATATTGGTCTGTTTCTCTTTTATTCCGAGGTCACCGTAGCCACCAGATCCAGTCCGTATCCAGATCAGATGGTGGATCAGCACCTAGAGACGACCTCTACAGCCCTGAATGTCCGCGGAGACCATGTCCACTAGATGAGCCCCAGTTTTTTTCTCTATTTCTGTCACCGATGGAGTTTTGGTTCCTTGCCACTGTTGCCTTTAGCTTGCTTAGTTGGGGAAACAATTTCTGCCAATATTGTTGACTTGATTGCACAGATACTGTTTGAAGAGAACTGAACTGAGCTGGATGATGGCATCACTGAATCAACAATGAAACGACGTTAACTGAAAAACTGATTGTTTTCTATTGTTCTTTTTCATTATCAGCACACTTTTTTCTGTTTGACACTGTAAAGCTGCTTTGACACAATCTGTATTGTATGAAGCGCTATATAAATAAAGGTATATAAAAAAGTGTCTGCCAAATGAATACATGTAAATGTAAATGATCATACTCTTGGCACTTGTCATTCATTCCATGATCGGAATCCATGCTGATGCTTGTAAACCATGTGCTTACCATCTAGCTTTCCTTGCCATTTTTCTTTCAATGAAAAGGTCGATAGAGAACAGCAACAAACTCCTCTTGCACAGCGCAAAGTGTTGTGGATAATATACATCCTCATTCGCCTTTTTAATTATATTTCCTCTTTACAGATGAAAATGAATGTTTGACTCAGCCTGGGGTTTGTGAGAATGGTCGATGTGTGAACACTGTGGGCAGCTACACGTGTGAATGTGGCGTTGGATTCAAAACTGACTCCACAGCCACGCAATGTCTTGGTAAAACTTCTTTCTCTATCCTGAACATAAAGGCAGGGACACACCAAGCCTACTTCAAAGAACTAGTGGCAACAAAAGCCGACAATGTCATAGTCGCCTCACGTCGGCAGTGTCTGGACCAAAAAGCTGCAAACTAACACATGCATTCTTCTCCTACATGAGAGGAATTGTTTGTATCAGGACAGAATATATCAGAATATCAGTTATGTTGATAATTTTCTTCATTTTAAGCAGCTCATATTATTATGAAAATATTTGCATATTGGAATGCTTGAAGCCGATAAGAGCTGACGTGTGGAACACACCAAACAAAACTAGCCCGACAGACGCTTGCCGACTTGTGTGTGTCCCGGCTTAAAGCTGACCATACTGTATGTCAACTAGCATGTGCAATATTAACAAGAAATCAAATGCCTAGGTCTTCAGCTCTGCTCCTGGGGACTCACTGTCCTGCAATTTTTTTTCTAACCTGCTTCAGCACACCTGGCCTGTGATTTTTCAAGTGATCCTGAAGACCTTGATTAGTTGGTTCAAGTGTATGTGATTAGGGTTGTAGGCTAAACTCTGCAGGAGAGTGGGGCCCTAGGAGCAGGGTTGAAGGCCTATGGCATAGCGCAGGGGTGAGCTGCCTGGAGAGCTACCGTCCTGCAGATTTCAGCTCCAACCCTAATCAAACACATCTGAACCAGCTTATCAAGGTCTTCAGGTTTACTTGATAATTACAGGCAGGTGTGTTAGAGCAGAATTGGAACTGAAGTCTGCAGGACAGTAGCTCTTCAGGAACAGGGTTGGAGATCCATGGCGTAGCGGATGGGCACACAGGCCATTTTTAAACTGTGATTTCTCCAAGAAAGTGATTTAGCCACGATGATATGCACTACGCCACTGAATGTGTGTGTTGTGTTGTGTATTGTGCATTTTTAGTCTCTAATGAAATGTGAATTGATTCGTGTTGTGATGTTTGGCTCTCAGATTACAGGCAAGGCTTTTGTTTCACTGAAGTTCTGCACACCATGTGTCAGATGTCGTTCAGCAGTCGTGTTCCTGTCAGCAGGTCTCAGTGCTGCTGTAACAGAGGCCATGGGTGGGGGGACCAGTGTGAGCTCTGCCCTTTGCCTGCTACTGCCAACTACAAGAAACTCTGTCCATATGGCCATGGCTACACAACTGACGGGACAGGTGCAGACACAAAAAAATCACACTCATGACCAGCTTTTTTAAAACAGATGTAGCAGCAGTGACCTAAAGCTCAAATCTTACTGGTTTGTGCATTACAGGCCTTACCAATGGTTTATTTAAAGACTCTGAAACTGAGACATGATTTTAAAATCCAAAGAAATACCGGCAGCATCATAAGTGGGGTGTAGGGCAGGTCATTAGCTCGAAGTCCTAGGCCAAAAAAATGGAAGGAGGCATTCTTTGATAATTGATTTTAAGATGGGAGAGAGGTAGAAACAGCCCTACACTGTATGTGTGTAGCACTACATACAAGTTTCCAGTGTGTTTCATTTGTCAGAAATCCCAATTATGGGTATCAGAGTATGTGAGATTATCTTTTAAGACTGAAGTTGTCAGTAAACCTCTTTGCCCACAGATATAGATGAGTGCAAGTTGATTCCAGGTGTTTGTGCCAACGGCATCTGTATCAACATCATGGGCTCGTACAGATGCCATTGTAAACCAGGATACATCGCCTCTACTGCAGGAACCGCATGTGTCGGTATGCCACAGACACTCAGCACTGCTTTGTCAGTCATTTAAATCCATGTGACGTATAAAAGCATTATTGTTTGATATTCCTTGTGATCATGGTTGTTTGAATGTTTCTGTCAGATGTTGATGAATGTAGTATGTCCCCAAAACCCTGTAACTTCATCTGTAAGAACATGGAGGGCAGCTATGTGTGTTCCTGTCCCCGCGGTTACACGCTGCAGGATGACAGCAGGACGTGTAAAGGTGAGGAAGATGAGTCGTCTTCTTTTGGCCACTTATCTTAGAAATATTCTGTGCATGATACCTACACAGGCATGCATTGTATGTCTGTGTCGTGATTTCAAGTTTAGATAGCCTCACACGGGGCACCACTAAATTAGTGATTTTAGATTTACACCTCCAGTGTAATGGCTTTGGGGTTAAATATAAATATAAATATTTAGT